CCACTTTCTGGTTCATTTAAAATCTCACACACCCAGAATGTAATAGCTATTCCTGTTCAGGGCAAACTACAGTCAACCGTTCTTTTCGAGGCAATCACTTCGAACTCTGCCTTCTCTAACCTGCTAGTGGGGATGGTTGGTCCTAAGAGTTATTATGTATCACGATCCCTGGGGACACAGGCTGCATAGAGCCCTTCAGAGTCTCAATGAAAACTGCCAGGAGCATCACCAGGCTTGCTCCCTGCAGCCTGTGCCCTGTTCCTCCAGGAGAGATGCCCAGGAGGGGTCACTTCATAAGATAGGACATGTGCATGGGGTCCAGCGTGGGGAAAGCTTCACACACAGCAAGTTCTGTTCAGTTCAGTAGCTCAGTTGTGTCTGTCTCTGTGTGACCCCATGGACTGCAGCACCCCAGGCCTCCCTGTCCATCACCAACTCATGGAGTTTACTCAAACTCATGTCCATTGAATCGGTGATACCATCTAACCGTCCCATCCTCTGTCATCCCCTTCTCCTCCTTCCTTCAGTCTTTCCCAGCACCAGGGTCTTCTCAAATGAGTCAGTTCTTCGCATCAGGTGGGCAAAGTATTGGAGTTTCAGCTTCAACATCAGTCCTTCCAATGAACGTCCAGGACTGATCTCCTTTAGGATGGACTGGTTGGATCTCCTTGTAGTCCAAGGGACTCTCAAGAGTCTTCTCCAACACCGCAGTTCAAAAGCATCATTACTTTGGTGCTCAGCTGTCTTTATAGTCCAACTCAACTTTTCCGTGACTACTGGAAAAACCATAGCTTTGAGTAGACAGACCTTTGTTGGCAAAGTAATGTCTCTGCTTTTTAATATGCTGTCTAGGTTGGTCATAGCTTTTCTTCCAAGGAGCAAGCGTCTTTTAATTTCATGGCTGCAGTCACCATCTGCAGTGAATTTGGAGCCCCCAGAATTAAAGGCTGTCACTGCTTCCACTCTTTTCACTGTTTCCCCATCTAATTGCCATGAAGTGATGGGACCAGATGCCATGATCTTAGTTTCCTAAATGTTGGGTTTTAATCCAACTTTTTCACTCTCCTCTTTCACTTTCATCAAGAGGCTCTTTAGCTCACACACACAGTGAAGATCCAGGCGTTTAGGAATGCAGAGTCCCACCTCAGGCCTCTCTCCACACGTTCACCCCCTCCTCAGAGAGGCGCCCCCTCCTCCTCAGGGCTGAGGGGACACACAGAGGAAGGAGGACTCTGCCCCCCAGGGGGAAGGCCCACAGGGGAGGGCCCCTGCTGTCCTGCACAGAAGGAGACCCACCTTCCCGCTCCGGGGCCGGCACTGCCCTGACCTGATCCTGATCTGAGAGGAATCTGCATCTCAGACGCCCCTCGGTCCTGACCCCTGAGCAGTCACGGAAGCCATGGACAGACTCGCCCTGAGGATTTGAGAGGAGCCCATGATGGCCCTGAGCTCACGGGGACACAGGAGGGGCACCTGGCCTGGTGCTAAAGAGGGGACAGCGCCCAGAGCAGGGGGCAGGATCTGTCCTTGAGGGCTCTGGTCTCCAGGTCACAGGATGTGTGTCTGGGCCTGGACGAGGGGGTAGGGGGCGCTCGGGGTCCACTCCTGAAGATGGCTGGTGGGAGGCACGATGGGCCCCCTGACAGAGCTCCCTGACAAGGCCTCGTGGCCTCTGCTCAGGGCTCCCAGCTGTGACCTCCCATTGCTGGGGCCCACAGAGCCCCACCCCTGACAACACTCTGGCCGCCCTGAGGCATAGAGACGGGCCCAGGGCCCAGGGAGGGGTCAGTGTGATGCACGGGATCGTCTGCATGAAAGGAGCCTCCCCTCTCACAGTATGAAGAGGGAAGGAGCGGTGTGGGGACGCGCTGCTCAGCTCTGGGGCCACAGAAGGCAGGACGCCCTGACCGTGTCCACCATGGCCGGGTCCCCTCTGCTCCTCACCCTGGTCGCTCTCTGCACAGGTGACTGGATGGGGGGACAGGGGAAGGGTCCTGGGAAGACTCACGGGCTGGGCTCCGTTCTCTCGTGTCTGGACCCCAGAGTCACCATCTCTGTCTCTCCCCCTTCCAGGATCCGGGCCCAGGCCGTGCTGACTCAGCCACCCTCCATGCCCGGCACGTTGGGACAGAGGGTCACCATCTCTTGTACTGGAAACAGGAGCAACACTGGGGGTCATTATGTCAGCTGGAACCAACAGCTCCCACGGTCGGCCACAGACTCCTGACTAGTGAAAGCAGCAAGCAACTCTCAGGGGTCCCAGATCGATTCTCTGCCTCGAAGTCTGGCAAGTCGGCCTCTCTGACCACTTCAGTTCAGGCTGAGGACGACACTGATTATTACTGTTTCTCATGGGCTGACGGCTTGAAAGTGCACGGTGCTTCAGGCCAGAGTGGAAGGAGACAAAAACCTGCTTCCGCACAGCCAGGGGCTCCCAGGGCAAGGTGTTTGTCCCTCCCTTCCTGGGGTCCCTGAGAGCACGGAACCCAGCAGACTGAGTGTCCCCTGACTGCAGCACAGCTGCCCCCTCAGCTCGACTCCCCTCCCCAGGGCAGCGGCTCACAAGGGGTGGTCACACACCCCTGGATGAAGGAGCTGCTGGCAGAAGTTGCCCCCGGTTCCCAGGTCAGAGTCAGCAGCACAGAGCAGGGCGGTCAGTGCCGCCCTTGCTGGGTCAGTGGGCAGTGAACACACCTCCCTGACCTTCTGCCACAGGAGGATCTCCTGTTAAAGGAAAAGGAAATGGAATTCAGAGTTTCTTCAAGTAATTTCCACACAGTCCAAGATCCAGTAAAAATTGTCACTTCTATCAAGAACCAGGAAATTAAATATTGAGGGGAAGTGAGATGGCATAGACATCAACACTGAGATGCCTCAGACGATGAAATCAGGTGGCAGATATTTTTAGGGACAATTCATCAAATCTATTTGATGAGCAAATACAAACACTCTTGGGTCCAAAGGAAAAGGAGATAAATGGAGGGGGAAAAAAAAAGAATCATGAGAAAATGTAGCCAGAATCATTTGAAAACCAAATACATGAAAATAAAGGATAATTCTCTGTATGTTATCAAAGACATGTAAAATTTATTATTTAATTTATTTATTTGTATATTGGCAGAGTATTTGGTGACAGGACAAAGAGGCAGCCCCTCCTTCCTCAAAAGGCTTCCCAGGTGTCACTAGTGGTAAGGAAGCCTCCTGCCAACGCAAGAGTCATAAGAGATCTGGGCGCTGTCCCTGGGTTGGGAAGATCCTCTGGAGCAAGAAACGGCCACCCACTTCAGTGTTCCTGTCTAGAGAGTCCCGTGGACAGAGGGGCCTGGTGGGCTGCAGTCCATGGGGTCACAAGAGTCAGACAGGATTGAGAACCAAGCAACTGAGCAGCGCCTTGCTCACAGTCTCACCACCGTGACTGTTCCCCAGACGGGCCACCAGGGGCGCTGTGCGCGTGCTCAGAACTGGCAAAGCCCGAACACACCCACGTGGTCCCCTGACCTGGCCCTGCACCCGGGCTCAGCGCCCTGAGTTGGACGAGACAGCAGGCGCTTCCTCCAAGGGGACAGACTCAGAGCCTCGGCCCCCAGGCCTCCTCCTGGGAGTGACGCTGCACACGGGGCCGAGCACCCAGAATTGGAGGGTGAAGGGGTCAGGTGGTCATCAGTCCCCATCCTCGTCCCAGAAACAGGGGAGGGGAGGAGCCCCCGGGGCCCGCCCCGTGCCCCCCTCCAGCTCTGCTCAGCCTGCCCCTGCTCCTCCTCACCTCTTTGCTAAGAGTCTCCGCTCCCGCTCCCCTCATTCGTGACTTTCCCCAATCCCGAGACTGTGTCTCTACAAAACAGCACTGTTGACCTCCACGGTCATGACCAAGCTCAGTCTGGCAGAAGGTCACGGACAGGTGTCCAGATCTTCCTGAACTGGACACTCACTTCCTCCACCCCTCCTTGAACCTCTGTAGCCCTTCCTTCCCAGGAAGCCTCAGGTCTCTGGGTCTATGTGTGACCCAAGTTCGTTATCCCTCTGCTCCTCTCCAGGTTCCCCTTGTTTCCCAGAGGATCCACGAAGCCCTCTAGTGGCTGATTTATCCTGTGAATGCTCACACTCTGATCTCTGTGCCCGTCAAGTGAGGAATCAGGTGGGGAGAGAAACCGTGGTCCTGAGATGCGGGAAATGATTCTGTGCTCAGCTGCTGTGGGACTGATTTTATGCACAGTGAGCAGAGAAGCTGTTGGGGCCCTGGGCTGGGAAAGCAGGTGCCCTCCTGGGGCTCTGACCCGGGGCCATCACTGCTGCTCCCACCGGACCACGTCTAAGTCAGGTTTGCTCCCCGTGGTCACGTCTGAGTGTCCTGAGGACCACTGACCTGCCTTGTCATGTCCTGTGTCTCATCTCAGATCTGAGACCGATCCGTGGCTCTGATAACTCAGCCTGCCCTGTTTTCACAGATAGAACGTCCTGCTAAGACATGAAAATCCCTCAGTGGAGACCCATAACTGTTAGAGAGGCTGGTTCTGGCCCCGCCTCGCTCAGGGTCCAGTATAATTAAGAACGCCAATATCTTTGTGAAAATGTTATTTTACTTGATAATAAATTTCATAAGATACCTCTCGTGATTTAGTTAGAATTATCATATTTAATGAGCAAAGACTATAAAGAATGTTGTGTTTTATAAACAGTACCGTGGCAATGCAAATTAAAACAGAACCAGAGTCAGAGTCAACTTAGTGACTGAACAACAACATTTCTTTCAGTTATATTTATGCCCCTTAGATTAAGCCTTAGATTTTTACAAATCCATTACCACATGTTGGTTCATTTGAAATCTCAAAGTCACACACCCATAGTGTAACACGCACACGCACTATAGGCTGAACTATAGTTGGCTGTCCTTTTCCAACCAAATAATTTCTAAACTGTCATTTCAAAACCAGATCTGGGAAGGTTGACTCGAAGAGCTCTGATCACCTGGTCACAGGAAGTGTGTCTGGGCTGGACACCAGGGGACATTCCCAGGCACTTCTGAAGAGTCCTGCACCCACAGTGTAGCACGGGGTGGGGGTGGTCATTTGCATGAAGGGCTCCCAGCGGTGACCTCCCACTCCCAAGCCCCACAGAACCCCGCCCCTGATCTGGCTACCCCGAGGGACAGGGCCCTGACCCAGGGCCCAGGGAGGCGTCAGAGAGCCAGGGGCGGGGGGTCATTTGCATGAAAGGAGCCTCCCCCTCTCACAGTATGAAGAGGGAAGGAGCGGCGTGGGGACGCGCTGCTCAGCTGTGGGGCCACAGACGGCAGGACGCCCTGACCGTGTCCACCATGGCCTGGTGCCCTCTGCTCCTCACCCTGGTCGCTCTCTGCACAGGTGACTGGATGGGGGGACAGGGGAAGGGTCTTGGTAAGACACTCATGCTGTGTGCCCCGCTCTTGTGTCTGGACCCCCGAGTCACCATCTCTGTTTCTCTCCCTTCCAGGATCCTGGGCGCAGGCTGTGCTGACTCAGCCGTCCTCCGTGTCCGGGTCCCCGGGCCAGAGGGTCAGCATCACCTGCTCTGGAAGCAGCAGCAACATCGGTGGTAATAGTGTGGGCTGGCTCCAACAGATCCCAGGATCGGCCCCCAGAACCCTCATCTATGGTAGTACCAGTCGACCCTCGGGGGTCCCCGACCGATTCTCCGGCTCCAAGTCTGGGAACACAGCCACCCTGACCATCAGTTCGCTGCAGGCAGAGGACGAGGGGGATTATTTCTGTGCAACTTATGACGACAGTATCAGTGGTAACACGGTGCTCCAGGCCAGGGGGGAAGTGAGACAAAAACCTCTTCTCCCCACAGTCATGGGCCTCCTGGGGCTGATCCATCCCCTGTCAAAGCAACCAATATATAACATTTTGGTGAAGGGCGGGTAGTTCAGTGCAATCAGGTGCTTACTTTACAAGAGGCCTTCTGCTAGTCACAAGGAGCTGATGTCCCCATGAAGGAATTTAGTGATTTTCTGGATTGAAGAAATGCAAGCACTGGGATCATGAAACCAGTTCCTGAAAATATCTAACTACCTATAGACCTGTTCCACTGGTTTCCCTGGAGCACCAAGGGCCTCGCTCTGCACCCTGAACTCGTTTCATGAAGCGGCGAAGGTCAGCAGGTGCAGCTGCATAGGCAGTTGACAAGCACTCTAGTTGCTGTTGTTCAGCTGTTAGCAAATGCTCTTGACAAGTGCCTGTTTGTAGTTGACAGTAATAGTTCCTGTTTTCCTGTTCTTTCTTAGAACTTTAGTAATTTGTTTATTTATGGCTGCATGGGGTCTTCATTGCTCATGAGCTTTTCAGGTGGCTGGGAGCTCTAGTTACTTTTCCTCGGTATGCAGTCTTTTCATTGTGGTGGCTTCTCTTAATCAGAGCACAGGTTCCAGGTGAGCAAGCTTCAGTGGTTGGGGCTCTGGGGCTTAATTGTCCCTCAAAATGTGGAATCTTTTTTTTTTTCCATGTTAGAAATTTTTATTCCCCGTCTAAGATTTCACTGTCAGTATGATAGCAAGGAGTGGCTGACTGGACAGTGTAAACAATCTGACACTAAATGACGAGGTCAGAAGATCCTTAAACACGGCTATGACTTTTGTCCCTAATGTCCTCCTTCAGGCCTGTGGTGCTCCTGCCAGGAAAGCGTGATCATTGTCTGTTTGCAAGGAACCATCAGACGAGCCCAGCTGGAGGGTTATCCTCTGGGATGAGAGGTGTATCCTATGAAACTGCGAGGAACACAAAAGACAGGTCAAGACAGAGGAATGAGTCCAGATTGGGAGAGGCTGGCTGCTGCTGCTAAGTCACTTCAGTCGTGTCCAGCTCTGTACGACCCCATAGATGGCAGCCCACCAGGCTCCTCTGTCCATGGGACTTTTCCAGGCAAGAGTACTGGAGTGGATTGCCATTGCCTTCTCCAGAAATGTGGAATCTGTGGAATCTTTACAGACCCGGTACTAAACCCATGTCCCCTCCATTGGCAACCTTAAACAATGGATCACAGGGATCACAAATCGTGCAAATGTCGCTTTTATGTGTTTTATGTAACAGTTGTATGTACAACCCTTTGCTTCCTCAAGAACCACAAATTTTTCATGCTTTTCAATATAATATCTATATATAAAGTGTATCTATGGGAAGCCTGGAATTGCTGAAGTTTGTTTCATATTTCCAGGTTCCTATGCAATATTGTTCTTTACAGCATCAGACCTTGCTTTTATCACCAGTTAGAATGTTACAAATGTTAGGTCCATGAATCAAGGCAGATTGGAAGTGGTCAAATAGGAGATGGCAAGAGTGAACGTTGACATTCTAGGAATCAGCGAACTAAAATGGACTGGAATGGGTGAATTTAACTCAGATGACCATTATATCTACTACTGTGGGCAGGAATCCCTTAGAAGAAATGGAGTAGCCATCATAGTCAACAAAAGAGTCCAAAATGCAGTACTTGGAAGCAATCTCAAAAACGACAGAATGATCTCTGTTCGTTTCCAAGGCAAACCTTTCAATATCATAGTAATCCAAGCCTATGCCCCAACCAGTAATGCTGAAGAAGCTGAAGTTGAACGGTTCTATGAAGACCTACAAGACCTTTTAGAACTAACACCCAAAAAAGATGTTCTTTTCATTATAGGGGACTGGCATGCAAAAGTAGGAAGTCAAGAAACACCTGGAGTAACAGGCAAATTTGGCCTTGGAGTACAGAATGAAGCAGGGCAAAGGCTAACAGAGTTTTGCCAAGAGAATGCACTGGTCATAGCAAACACTGTCTTCCAACAACACAGGAGAAGACTTTACTCATGGACATCACAGGATGGTCAACACCGAAATCAGATTGATTATATTCTTTGCAGCCAAAGATGGAGAAGCTCTATACAGTCAGCAAAAATAGGACTGGGAGCTGACTGTGGCTCAGATCATGAACTCCTTATTGCCAAATTCAGACTTAAATTGAAGAAAGTGGGAAAACCACTAGACCATTCATGTATGACCTAAATCAGATCCCTTATGATTATACAGTGGAAGTGAGAATTAGACCCCTACGAGCTCCTGGGTCTGGCTGTCCTGTTGCTTCAGACTTGAGTCAGATCCTCTACTATATAGTCTTTCCCAAGCTGGTTTTAGAAAAGGCAGAGGAACCAGAGATCAAATTGCCAACACCCGCTGAATCATCGAAAAAGCAAGAGGGTTCCAGAAAAACATCTACTTCTGCTTTATTGACTATGCCAAAGCCTTTGACTGTGTGAATCACAATAAACTGTGGAAAATTCTGAAAGAGATGGGCATACCAGATCACCTGACCTGCCTCTTGAGAAACCTGTATGCAGGTCAGGAAGCAACAGGACATGGAACAACAGACTGGTCCAAACAGGAAAAGGAGAACGTCAAGGCTGTATATTGTCACCCTGTTTATTTAACTTATATGCAGAGTACATCGTGAGAAACGTTGGGCTGGATGAAGCATAAGGTGGAATCAAGATTGTCAGGAGAAATATAAATAACCTCAGATATGCAGATGACACCACTCTTATGTCAGAAAGTGAAGAACTAAAGAGCCTCTTGATGAAAGTGAAAGAGGAGAGTGAAAAAGTCGGCTTAAAGCTCAACATTCAGAAAACTAAGATCATGGCATCCGGTCCATCCCTTCATGGCAAACAGATAGGGAAACAGTGGAAACAGTGGCTGACTTTATTTTGGGGAGTTCCAAAATCACTGCAGGTGGTGACTGCAGCCATGAAATTAAAAGACGCATACTCCTTGGAAGGAAAGTTATGACCAACCTAGACAGCATATTAAAAAGTAGAAACATGATTTTACCAGCAAAGGTCCGTCTAGTTAAGGCTATGGTTTTTCCAGTGGTCATGAATGAATGTGAGAGTGGGACTATAAAAAAGTTGAGCACTGAAGAATTGATGCTTTTGAACTGTGGCATTGGTGAAGACTTTTGAGAGTCCCTTGGACTGCAGGGAGATCCAACCAGTCCATCGTAAAGGGGATCAGTGCTGAATGTCCTTTGGAAGGAGTGATGTTGAAGCTGAAACTCGAATACTTTGGCCACCTGATGTGAAGAGCTGACTCATTTGAAAAGACCCTGATGCTGGGAAAGATTGAGGACAGGAGGAGAAGGGGACAACAGAGGATGAGGTGGTTGGATGGCATCGCCAGCTCGATGCACATGAGTTTCGGCAGACTCTGGGAGTTGGTGATGAACAGGGAGGCCTGGCTGTGGTGGTCCACGGGGTCGCAAATAGTTGGACACGACTGAGCGACTGAACTGAACTGAGCTGAACTGTTACATATTTCCAGTAAATAAGGATACATTGTCTTTTTGTGTAATAATTCCATGATAAAATTTTCTGTTTTTCTAAGTATTTTAACGTTTTTTTAAATTTTTCTCTACTAGAGCCAATGTTCGACCTTCTTATAAAAGTATGAATTTCATCTCTTTTTCTGCAACATTTTCCCACATGCCACAGGAGGCCTGTGGGACTGCCCTGGGGTCCCTTCACAATTGCTCAGGGAGCACCACTCACTCCAGGAGGCTGGGCTGGGGCGGGGCCTGTGCTCCTGGAGGGACTCAGCTGTGCGTCCTCTCTGGCTGCAGAGTCCCCTGAGCAGGGAGCTGTGTGGTCTCAGCAGGTGCCTCCTCCCAGGGGATCAAAGAGGGCAGCCCCTACCTCACCCGAGTCTGGGCTGTGAGCTGAGCTCCAGCACCAGGGCCAAGGAGGGGCTGGGTGGGCCCTGGGTGGGCCCCATTTGCCTGGCAGCCCCTCCTCTGAGGCTGGGGGAGAACGGGAGGCCTGGGGCAGCCCACCCCACTGTGGGGACCAGGGTCCTGTGGGCACCGTCGCCTGGACTCCGCTCCTGCTCGTGCTCAGGTCACAGGTGGTGACGGGCCCCGGGCGCCAGGGCTCGGTCCCCGGCCTGCATCGGCCCCCGGGGCGCAGACTCCCGGAACCTTTCCTGCAGCTCCTGCCCCGTCGCCCCGCGTCTGTGTCTGCGGGCTCCGTCTCCCAGCCTGGGCTGGCTCAGCCCGCCTCCCTGTCCGCGTCTCCGGGAGCATCAGCCAGACTCTCCCGCACCCTGAGCAGCGGCTCCAGTGGTGGCGCCTATGCTTTATACTGGAACGAGCAGAACTCAGGCGGGCCTCCTCAGTAAGTCCTGAGGCTCTATTCAGACTCCAGTAAGTATCAAGGCTCCGGGGTCCCCAGCCGCTCCTCTGGATCCAAGGCTGCCTCAGCCAACGCAGGGCTCCTGCTCACCTCGGGGCTGCAGCCAAGGACGAGGCTGACCATTTATTGTTCAGCCTATCACAGGAGCACAGATACTAACAAGGTGCTCCAGACACACAAGGAAGTGAGACCAAAACGTCCCCCGCGCCCTCCCCGTGGGGCCATCCCTGCTGCTCCGTCTGGACCACGTGTAACTCTGATTAACCTCCTATGGTCACTTCTGAGCTTCCCAAGAACAACAGATCTGACCGCTCATGTTCTGTCCCTCCTCTCAGATCTGAGACTGACCGATGGTTCAATACCTCAGCCCTCTCTGTTTACAGACAGAAATCTCTGCTCAGACATAAAAATTTCCCAGTGGAACTGTAATAAGTGGCAGAAAGAGGCTGCTACCAGCCCTGCCTCACTCAGAGGGCAAAAAATTAAACAATTTTTAAAAAATTAAGAATGCAAATATCTTTGTAAAAATTCTATATCATCTGTGAAGAAATAAAGCTT